GGGGGGGGGGGGGGGGGGGTATTTAACAATTTAGCAATACATACCTTTTGACACATTTTTATACATATTTTTTTAGACAAATTTAAATCTTTAAATTTTTTCAATCGTGCGAATTGTAGGTTTGTTTTTTTATTAGACTGCGTTAGAACTGTTTTTTCTAAAGCAGAACTTGCATGGTTTAACTTTTTTCTTTTCACTTTATCTTTTATTTCGAAATCATCTATTTCATTGTGTCCATAATGCTAGAATGTTCCATAATTTCATATAGAGTAGAAATTAACAGACCATATTTGAACAATGAGATTAGTCAATTTTCTATCTGTCTAAAATTTATAGGGTTTTCTAGCATAGTGGATACATGAAGTTTAAAGTTTTATATTACATGCTCCAACATGTTTCAACATGCTTCTACTATTAGCTCCTATTTACTCCAACGAGTACATTGAATGAATAGGAACTATGGTAAGAGCATGTTGGAACATGTTGGATACAAACAAACCTCTGTTTTCTATATAGCTCAACTAGTACATACTTTTAAAACTTAAAGTGGAATAGGTACACATTTGATATTTGGCAAAAGAAAGGAGTGAAAAACAGACTTGTGTTTAACACTGGAAAGCCAAATTCAAACAAGAGTAGAATCAGCATTACAAAGAATATTATTTTGTATTCATAATCATTTTATTAACCACCTTATTACATGTATAACTGATGCTGTGCTTTAAAATATACAACTTAATTCTTGTTCTAACTTTATAATTTTTTATTATAATAATTATACACTTTAAATCCTAACACCTTTCCATGCAAATTATGTCTCATTAAGCACTAGGTACTGCATTTTCATATATTTTGTATTAATTTATCATTTAATCTATATCACTGTTAAAAATTAATTAACGTCCTCTCTTTTTTGTAATCTATTTTAGTAGTATTTCTCAAACTAATTAAGAGTCACAAAAAATAACAAACAGATAGATCTCCATTTGTTTAGTGATTATAAATTTTTGAAAATATTGCTTAGTGGACAAAGTTTATTTATTGTTAAAAGTGTATTTCTAATTTCTTTCTAGCATATTTCTGGATCCAAGAATAAAATATGAGACCTCTTTACTATTTATTTATTTCATTTAAATTTTATCTAGGTGGATGAGGACTATATTCAAGATAAATTTAATTTAACGGGGTTGAATGAACAAGTACCACATTATCGTCAGGCATTAGATATGATTCTTGATCTTGAACCTGGTAAGTTGTTTTAATAGCAATAAACTGAATTATTATTGAGTGTATTAAATCAAATGAAAACAAACAAAGATGTATGTCATATGATTACTTCTAACATTTTTTGTTCAATTTTTATTTGTTAGATGATGATCTGGACGATAATCCAAATCAATCAGACTTAATCGAGCAGGCTGCGGAGATGCTCTATGGTCTTATCCACGCACGTTATATACTTACCAATCGTGGCATCGCTCAAATGATCGAAAAGTACCAAGCGGGCGATTTTGGTCATTGTCCACGAGTTTATTGTGAATCCCAACCAATGTTGCCACTAGGGCTTAGTGATGTTCCTGGCGAGGCAATGGTCAAGAGTTACTGTCCTAAGTGCATGGACGTTTATACACCGAAGAGCTCGAGACATCATCATACTGACGGAGCGTATTTTGGAACGGGATTTCCACATATGCTATTCATGGTCCACCCTGAATATAGACCAAAACGTGCAGCAAATCAATTTGTACCTAGGTAAGTATCAGATTACACATCAACATATAAAAGTTTTTTTAGTAATGGAATAATTAATTGCATGGCAAAAGAGATTAAAGTTTAAAATACTATTTTTGATTAGGAAAATTTTAAACTAGAATTTCGTTATTTTATGATTAAATTATATAAATAAAATAAAATCATAATTTATGTAATAAATATATTATGCAAATGTATAAATATTCACTTTTACTAAAGAGATCTCAGTATTGTACGTATTGTACTAATAGATTCTAAATTTTTTCTGTAGATTCTATCAATTTTGAATGATTAGATTTATCTATTTTTGTTCATTATTGTCTATATGAACAAAATAATCATTAAATATAAAAGATAGAGGTGGTTGGCTAATGACCTTAATCTTTTTTTCACGATATGTGTAACATATTTTTTATTGCATTTACTTAAGCATATGTAGCACGTATTCATTCTAAATGTGTAAGAAAAATTTTTCGCGTATATAGAATATGAAATTAAAAGATAATTTTTATTTTCCAGATTATATGGCTTTAAAATTCATCCTGTAGCATATCAGATTCAACAACAATCTGCGTCCACGTTTAAAGCACCATTACGGGCTCTCAACTATAATAACGGGAAACGTTAAAATTATCTTCGGAGTAGCCTAGAATACTTCCTTTCATTACTCGCAATTCCTAATTTCGTCCTTAAAGATTTAAATAAAATATTTTTTATATCTCTGTTTCCTCAATATGTTGTCGCGCGAGGAAGAATACATTCTACAAAGCCGCTCATAACTTTTTCGATTCGTTCATTGTCTCGACGCTCTTAAATTCTTGACATTGTACGAAGAGAAGAGAAAACGAGGAAAAGAGAAAGAAAGAGAGAAGGGGGGAGAGAGAAAGAAAGAAAAAGTCAGAGAGGAGAGCGAGCGTTTAGTTCCGTCGTGTGAATCATTGTCATGTTAATTTAAATTGTAGCAACAATAATTTTTGTGAAGAACCAATATGATGTTTGTATAGAAACTTTGAGCATTATTCATTAAAAATAGAGGGAGGGAGAAGGAAAACACGCTTAGAATAATTACTAGATCATAAATAAGAAGAGAGATAATGATTATAAATAGAACATACCCGTTTTGTACGAATCGCTTGTGTCATCATATTTGCTGCCAAGTAGTTCCTAAACATGTGCAGGAGCGGACTTCCTGGAAAAGTTGAGAAGCGAATAGTACCGGGTTTACATTGGTTCTTTTCAAGACGAGAGATAATGTATAAAGGAGAGAATAGCTATTAAGTATAACTTAATTTAATCGCCGAGTAATTTGTGCGCGAACTGTGACAGAAACGATTTATTATTATTAACAATTGCGTAGATAGTGGACAATTTACAACAAAAACTGTAAAGCGTGAGACAATATTTCAGAGGAGAAGGAGAAGCTTCAGAAACGAAGATTGTGCATTTTCCAATGAGAGAGAAGAGGACTAAGCCGACTGTTTCGGTTTCTATCACAGTTCCCGAGACATTTTTATGGACATTTAGCATCGGTGGGAGGACAATTTCGCAATTAGAAGATAAAATTCTGTGTACGCCATTTTTAACATACAGCAGCAAAACTATTACTAGCATTTCCTTCATTTTTGTATTAAGTACAATCGTTTGTGAAACGATGAGATTGAGTCAAATAGATTTCATATTTCTAAATCGGTTGGTATTAAGGAAAACTGTTGTATTGTATTTTCCACTTTAAATTAAAATATTACTTATTTACATGTTCTTTTTCTTTTATAATTTATACAACAAATTCATTTTAAAGTAGATTTGCATAAATATGTCATTTAATTACTATTACTATATGTATGTCAATTGCATTTACATATAAATTATTAGATCGGTACATTTGTCCGCAATCTGTATTTTATACATATACAAATACAGTTAATTTTTATAAGACTAATGTTAACGTCTCAACTGTGATCGAGCGATTCACTTTTCACTGATTTTTTGTTGCTTATATTCTGCGTAAGCTTTAAAGAAAAGTATATTTTCCATGCGTTAGCAATAAGAATACAAGTTTCTCGTCCAAAAATTCCCTAAATATCAATCGATCAGCGAAACAGTTGTGGTCGAACTTGCACTATGAAAGATTTTATGTTGAAATTTAAAATCAAATAAATTTGCTATTATCAAATCTTAAAAGACCGACTAATTAATTTCTTTATTTAAAAAAAATACGCGAATAATTCGATATAAATTTAATTTAAGCTTATTCTATTAATTACTCGATCATTAAAAATACTTATTACTTATATTTAATATTTTTATTTAAAAGTATACATAATATTTATATATAATCAAATTACATACAATATATAAATAATATATATAATAAATAATATTCTAGTAATATATCAATATTGTTATAATGTATTTCATGAAATATAAATCAATTTTTATATATGAAGATACAAGAACATGACAGATTTTACATTCGAATATCCCGCCAAAGGCGGTGAATTTCTCCCTAAAATATTCTTATCACATTTTGCCGCTAATTGTCCCTAGACATTGACCAATGAACGCCGTGCTGGCGAATTCAAACGTTATAGTCGCCATATGTGACACGGCCGACCGGTAGAGTTTCGAACATCTCGAACAGGCATCAATAGATATTTAAGTTCGAAAACGATGCATGAAGTGACGATGTTATGTAGCGTACACAGATAGAAATCGTACGAATATAACAGAATGTAAATAACATCCTCGCATAACATGTAAACGGGTGTAGATGACTCGTGATGTGCGTGCAGAGTGTACCTTTTGTCGATCGATGATTTGGATCTACAGAGACTACTCCAGACTGTTCAGTTTGACAGGTGCGTGTTTCGTCCACTCGCAACTAAGGTATCCTCCGAATTCTCTTTGGTCTGTGTGCTTTGATCGCGAGACCGATTACTGAAAAATAGATTTGACATCGATTTCTCGATGGATTCCTAGCACACACGTGAGATCTTCAGGTAACTGTTTACTTTGGGGAAGCTTATAGAAATAAAGCTGATTAGAAACCTATCTTGCAGAAAGAGAGATAAGAAAAGAAAAGTAATAAAAAATTAACTCCTATTTATACTATGCTTTTCATAATGACAATAACGAATTTGTTGTTTTGTACAATAATGTCTTTCTAATTAAGGTAATAAAAATCTTTTATTTTGCTCCTTTGATATATTATATAACAAATTATTTGGTAAAAATAAATAATTTCGAAATAAATTTGTCAAGTAGAAATTTGTAATAGTAAGAATTTAATTGTGTTGCAATGGAATATGAAATTAATATTAATTCATACCCAAATGATATGATTTGTGTTCGTATATTGTATATGGGTTGTTTCAATACAATCATTATTTTACGATGAAAACAAGTAGCTATATAGAAAAGTACATATTAATTTTTATATTTTATTTTATTTTAATCTATTATGTAAAATATACATTTAATACGTATTATATGTTTAATACGTATTATATGTATTTATTTTGTATTATATTTGCTATATGAATCTATTATGTATTTAAGTCTTATTTGAGAAATGCTTGCTCTATATAAGAGCAGAGAGAAATAGCAACTTATTCAACTTGTATGTTACACAAACGCTTGATTATAACGTTTTTAAGTTTTATAGATATCTTTTTAGAGCTGCATTAAAATAGAGTTATTTGTTAAGTCTTTATGTCTCAAGATTTTATATAAAGATTTATATAAAGATGATATATTTATTGTATTATTTATATTATTTTATGAAGAAATTGTTTCTATATCATATTGATCATTATTTAGTATATTAGTTTAAGAATTTTTTGGATAAAATATCATATTTTTTATATAAAATTTTGAGACATAAAAACTTAATATATAACTTTATTTTTAATATAGCTCTATCTATATAAAAAGATATTTATAAAACTTTGGAATTTTGTAATCCTTTAATAGAATGTGATAATTTAAAAAAATTATTTTACTATATATATTTGAAGAAGAGATTTATAATAGCTAAAATAATACATTATTATTGAAAAATACATAATATTCGTACATATAATATTGTTATAATTAAGATTATTTTAAATAAATTCAGTAATAAAAGTATATCTATTTTTAGTAAAAAAAATAAGTTTATAAGAGAATTACAGATGTGAACAATATCTTCTGTTAATATTTTATTAAGTCTACTTAGCTTTATATGTCAAAGTTTTTTAATGATTCTTTTTTCTATGCAAATATATATCAAAACAAAATTCACAATTATTGCAACTGGTATAATTTCTGATATTTCATGTTTGTCATAATACTTTTTTTCATAAATTAACTGTAATTAATTATAATACATTTATATATGTGTTCAATTATATTGTTTTTTTCTTATAGAGATTAGTGAAGATTACCTCAAAAATCTTTAATAATGTCGGATCTTACGACAAATACATCTTACGACAGATGCAGTTTTGATAATATAAGCGCCGGCAGATTGCTTACACAGAATGTCACACTACCAAAGTCTCAGCCAGTTCGCCTCAAAGCACTTCTAGCATGTGAAAGCGACGAGGACGATGACGATGAAAGCGAGGAGAAACCCTGTCAATCTGAGGATGAGTTAGACAATTTCAAGCCTTTGCCGCAAGACGACTTTGTTGAAGTTCTACAAGAATCGTCTGTACTTAAAACAAACAGTTCGTTATCAATTGAGTCAACGGACGGAGCCTTGAAAGCTACGTGTGTACTGCCAAAAGAAAATATTGAAGTTGTGACTAACACTTCTATACAAAAAGGACTAAATTTTAATAGGGAACCATGTAAAGTTAGTGATATAAATTCTGAAAATCATATTTCACTTAACGATTCGAATAAACTAGAGACTTGCAGCTCTAAACACGAGGAAAACTCACAAGAATATCACATTGCAACAACATTTGCTTCGGGGAATCAAGCAAATACTGTTTATAATCATTCGACAAATGTAGCCTTACCTCCACCGTTGCTGTCAGTTTATAAAGGGGATTATAACATAGATTCAAATAAGAATTATCAAACTATAAATAGCGATCAGTTACATCACGAAAATGTTTATATGTCAGATATATTAAATAAAAGAAAAGAGGGATCTGTGTATAGCACATCAGGAGAGAATAAGACGTTATTAACTAGGAATAGCGAGTTGAATCTAAGTAAGGATGATCAACGATACAAAGGCACATACGGTTTCATCGAGCAGGCAAATAAGGATAATAAGGAGGAATCTCAGAAGATTACGAACACTCTGTCAGAATCTGCTACTTGTATATCCCAGACGTCTGAAAACCTGATGCATGCTGTAAGATATAGTACACAAAAGAATGTTGCGAAATATGAAGCGAATGAAAAGTATACACCCGCGAAAAATACGTGTAAGGAATTTAATACATCCTCTCTCAGTGAAGCGAGCAAGTCATTAGCTACGATTAATCATTTGGTTTTGGAAACTCCATTAAAACATATGCAAGTTAATGTGCATCCGAGTTCGTGCACATCACACAAGCAGTTGTTTCAAACTCCACAGAACAAACTATCTGGGGATCTGAACAAGAATCAAACTCCTTCCACAATATTGTC